GTTTGATCTATATCTCGCCAACCACTGCACCGATTTCAACTTTTTTTTTTCAAAATATTCGTCTCAATGCCTTCTATCTAAGCCACTCATAGCATATATATTACTCATACAGAGTTTAGAGATATAGCTGTTTATTCGTTTTTCCACCGAAAACCTTGTACGCACAATAACTCAATGAAAAAAAGAGATAGCGACTTGAAATTTTGTACGCTGCTAGCATTTGTGATATAGACGGTTCGTATTTCAGATGGGGAAAATCGGCCAAGTGGTTCGCGAGATATTCAACTTTTAGTGACCATCTATTTTGTCAAATATCTCGGTAACTACTGGATGGATTAAATTTTTTTTTTCAAAATACTTGTCTCAGCGACTGCTATCTAGATCAATCAAAATATATATACCCTTTCGTTCAAAGTTTTTGAGATATTTACGTTTTTCTGTTTTTTTGTTTTTCTCGTTCTTATGGGGCTGATAACTTGTGATACAGAAACAATATCGAACTGAAATTTTGTATTGATATACATCTCTTGTAATATCAAGGGTCGGTGATCAAGATAAGAAATCCATTTTACTGATAAGTTGAATATGTGGTTTCGAACATTTTACAGGGTATGAGTGGGTAATCATTGACTGAGATGCGTACGGACATTTGAATATTTGAACCAAGTTAGGTTATATCAGTAATTTCGACCTTTCGGACACCTCTATTTCGCTAAAAATATAGAGATTTAGTTCAAGTTCATGTTGTTTGCGAGTGAAAGTTTTATGGTTGTGTAATCTGGTAAGTAGTATATAAATTATTTTCCTGTAATGCAATGTCACTTACTGAAAAACTCTATCATCGTGGTGTGGAATCATATGAAGAGGACGAGAGAGAAAGATTGATTTCGACTGAGGTGTTTTGTAAATAGCTTCGATGAAGAGAGTACTTTAATAAAATTCATAAAATGTTCGTAATTGAATTTTCTAGGTTCACCAATTGAACGTCCGTCTGTTTTAATGGAAAATAGTCCTTTTCTCAAGTGAGAAATCTTACAGATTTACCTCCAGACTTGATTAAACTGACTGACGATTGGAGAGACTGATTAAACTTACTTTGCGGTTAGAATAATATTCGTGTAGAGATTGAATTGTATTTTTGTCGTAGAATTTGACTTGCAAGATTTTTTTTTAGTTTCCATGTCGTCCAATCGACAAAATGCCACTAGTTATAGCTGTCTCCTTGACAAGTCACAAACCATCACGTTTATTTTCCGGCATGCTTCTCTTCGGAAGCCTACTACCAATGTAATTGGTAGAAATTAAAGAAAAGAATGTAACTAGTAGACAAAGTAACGGTCAAATATCTTCTGTCGATTAGCGTCGGTCGCCTGCTTGTTTCATGTTTCATGATATTTCTAGACATTTCCACCCAAAATTAGGAAATCGAAAAAATCTCATTACATAGCTTCCATTCGGAAGCAAAAAGCAATGAGTCGAGTAAAAAATGCTCATTTGTTTAGGTAAATTGAAAGTCAATGTTGGCTCGACGTACCAGTTATCATTTGCATAATAATCTCACGGTTGTTGTCTGATGCTAATAAACCATGCATACTTATAATTTTAATTGTAAAGACCAGTACCGACGGCCGTGGCTGTGTGGTTAGAGTATGGGATTGGCACGTGAGCGACCCGGGTTCGATATCCGGCTGGGGAACCAAAATTTGTAACACTCCAATCTCACAGTTTCACTGTCGAGCGGGAGTCTCATTAAAAGGACGACTGTACCTGGGCAGGTTTTTCCCTCAAGTGAGGTTTTCCCTCGTCCTTCGGCGAATGCGGTACAGGGGGTTGGGGGGTGGGAAGGGAACAAATCGTAAAAACCCGAAAGGGTATACGAGAGAAAATAAAAAAAAAATAAAAAATTGTAAAGACCAGTAGTTTGATCGCCTTGATCTGCAATCGACGGATGCCATAATCTTAAGCACCACGTATAAATCGATCGATTGAAAGTATCGTGGGAAATGCAACGTTGGAAAATGTTCCTCGTGTTCCCTTATAACGGGCTGATCATCATTCATTGAAGGTTACAATTTTGCATGAGCATCGCAACAACTCGGGACTAGGTGTCCTCCGGGGTTTCATTGCATACAGAGGGAAAAAAAATAAATCCTGTAAAAAAAATTGAAATAAAAATATTCCTGGATGACCGTTAAGTGTGGCTGTGGTGAGACGACCGTTGATAGGCATGTAGCTTTACGAGCCTAGGTTTCTGCGGGGCGTGTATACACGTAACTTCGATAAGTAATTATCGGTTGATCGGTGCGGAAGACATACACAGAAGAGAGTGAAAGAAAAATAAAAATCTTCAAACGGGATGAGAGAGCCCAGAAAATCTTTAGGGGGGGGGGGTCGTGAAGGATTTGCCAGAGATAGACGTCTTGGTACCAAGATAGAATGAAGACGTCTTGACGTCGCATGGGAGAACGAGAAGTGGTTAATTTGCTCGACTGGCTAGACCACTCGTTGGCCTGATGTGCACGTGCTTCTTTGCAAGAAGGCCACAAGCCACTGGGTTGAAAATCCTTCTTATATAAGAGATGTATTTCAAGCCACTGTATTCAAGCTATTCAAAGCCACTGGGGTACTCCAGTCCACTAGAATCTTACGGGTTGCGTATATGTAGGCCTTGTGGAATCATACAATCTAGTGAGAAGTATTTGATGAGACTGATGTAGGAGTGCCATTCAGCTGCATTTCTTTCTGTTCATTTCAATCTTGCCAAAGTTACTGGAAGCTACAACAGAAGTGGCTACATGGAAAATGCTTGTTTTACAGCTGAATGTATGCTTGGGAGTGATCTGTAAATCTCTCATATTCACCACAACTCATTTTTCACCTACAAACGCACTATATGGATGCAATCACTTGGACTGGAATTCAGCAGTTAAAGTTCAGTGGAGTTCGTTGGTTTACATAATTGCAAAAGCAGTCATGAATAGTGTGCAGCAGGTTTTTTTCCAATTTTATATGCCAATGAATTCGTTTTGGGTTACGTGGGCTGGTTGTAATAATTCATGATTGACTAACCTGGGTGATAATACGGGGACACCTATTAAGTCACACCCAGGCAGAAGATTGTTCTTTTGATGTGTGAATTCTTTGTCTCTCCCTCTTCTACTTCAATCATCCATTCATTTTACATGTATGCATTTGACTATGCATATCGCTACATCACGCATTGTAATGCATGTAATGAGAATCTCAAATAGGCAAGCAATTTGATAGGCTTGTCAACTGGTGTTACGGTTAATGCACGGAAAGAATAGGGTGATGAACAACAGTTACCCTGTGCTGAGGTACGTTATGCCGTTAGGAAGCATAAAAAATTCACATTGACGCCTTCGGAATCGTTCATCATTGCGGTTAATTTTCAGATAGGCGGTTTGATATTCAATGTCATTACTGTGATCATTTCTAATTGATTGTGAAACGTTACATAATGTTGCAGGGAGAGAAATGTATGATAAAAAAAAATTAAATTATTCCGAAGGAGTTAATAAAAATTATATTGATCTTTGTTGTCAATAAAAATTTTGACTTGGAATTTTTCTATTCATTTAATAATATTCTCATCGGAAATGATGAAGGTTTTTGAATTTTTTTAAAAATTTATTTTAGTGAAACTGTTTAACTTATATGAAATAAATTCATTCCAAAAAACGGATTACTAGATGTTAATAAATTCGTTTTCTTCGCCCTGTAAAGAATGACTCAATTTTTAGCTAATACAGTTAAACAATTGTTTTTATTTATAGAGATAATAACGTAACTAAACAATCAAGTTTAAGTTTGCATAAAAGCTTTATTACGATCTATTTGAATAACTCAATTTGTGCGACTCTCGAATGGAGGATTTTCAATTCACATAATTATTCCTCTGGAGTCAGGCAATGATAAACCTCCAAGTGTAAGAGAAATTACAACTTTCTGTATTCTAATTTTCACTATCACGTTTTTTATCCTCTCATATAAGAATAGGATGTGTAGAGGAAATTCAATTTTTTCCAGAAGAAGAAAGTCTTCGTTTTGAGGGGTCCGCGTTATTCTTAAATTTAATAAGTGAGAAATCATAAAATCTAGTCATTTTATCGTTAATTTCCACCGACATTCTTAATCATAGCAATTCTTTGCCGAAATTTTGGTGATTAAATTAATAAAGTTCAGGGTAAGTCTAGTCAGTGTCAAGAATGCCTCGAAATTAGTAGTGATTTCCATAAATTAAGGATCAATTCTTGAAAACTACAGATATATTCCGAAAAACTCAAATTTTTTTTCCCTATGTTCGTTCTAGTAATTTTCATAGCACAGTGAAAAATTAACTATAAATACTGTAATATCTGCCTTCCGCATTTTCATTTTTATCCATCTAGTTATCAATATTCGCGACATCTTCATGGTGATATAGGGGTACGTGCTAAATCGATGTATGAAATGTTTCATTTTTTTCTAATGGTAGAATATTATGAAACTGATGATATTTATCTATTTGAGACAAAAAACAAAAATTTACGTTACGTGAAACGACCTTTTCCGTACGTTTAAATGTTTTAGAAAAAAATTCATTGGATTCATCTCGATCACTGGCATTCTATAACGCCTCAAAGGCAGCGATTTCGACCAAGGACAGGTGTTTCATCCACGAACACACACACACACACATTCAATGAATAGAAGAAAAATGTGTCTGTAAACTCCATAATCAATTATAAATTATTTGCAAGAGAAATAATTTGCCCGTATTTACCAAGTGAATCACGAAACCAATTATGATGATTAGTTGGCTCATATTTACTTCCAGTAATTTGAAGCCTTCGACTCAACTAATTTCAAGATTGAGTAACCTTTCTCCGTGGGATCTTTTGAAAGAGGCGTACACTTTCATCCGTTAACTGCGTGATATTTTATGACATTTAGCCAAAATGCTAATGCTACTCCTACCCGATTACATCTGCGCGACTATAAAAAGGCAGTAGCATCCTCCAGAGATCATCAGTTGAGCATCAGAGCAACTATCAGTATCATCTTTCAAACATGAACGGATACATCATCTCATTCTTTGCCGTTGTGGCTGTAGCTAGTGCTGGACTTCTACCCAACGAGCCAGTTCCAATCCTGTCTCAGGATCTCGAAGTTGGCTTTGACGGTACCTTCCGCAATTTCTACGAGACTGGAAATGGAATCAGTGTGCAAGAGCAAGGATACCACCAGCCTGGACAGACACCGGAGGAGGGAACCAACGTGGTCCAGGGATCTGCTCAGTGGACTGCACCCGATGGTACCCCAGTCTCGATCAACTGGGTTGCTGATCAAAATGGTGCTCAATTCCAAGGATCTCACCTCCCAGTCGCACCAACCCCACCACCAATCCCACCAGCAGTCCAGAGAGCACTCGAATACATCGCAGCCCATCCTGAGCAAAACGAAGGGCAGGTCAGGCCTCTAGGCCGCAGATTCTAAGACCATCAACAGTGATAATGAAATCAACCTAGTTGTTTTGTTGTTTAGTAGTCTATTGTAGAACCTTTTCTGTTTCCTACTGCCATTGAAATAAATTATCTCAGTGTCATTCAGATCGGTTTACCTGTGAAAAAAATTATTTATCTCCTGAAATCACCTTGTTCTTAAGAGTCTTCATGAAAGCATGACGCACTAGTGTGGATATGTTAAAAATGTGTCCTCCGACGAAGGCTTTAGTCCACTTTTCTTCTCTACAATTGAAGGTCATACCGAGTAAAGAGTCGAGTAAGTGAGTGAGGATACTAGGGTTGACAAAAAAAGCCATCGGCGATTGAGATAAATACTTCAGTATGTCAGATATTGAACTAATTGGTGTTTACAATTTTTACAGCAGTCGACTCAACAAGAGTGAATGGTAATCTAGTCATTGTAGCGGCACAGAGACGCCTGTTAATTGTGCTGATTGCTTCAGACGCATACCCAGGAAGATTTAAGAGCCTCCTTCTATGGAACTAGTTCGCTGGTGCGTCAGTACAACACCATTGACCATGAAATCTTCAGAATCATCTCAGAGACCCGGTGAACAACTACCGCTATTTCTCGCCTTTGTATGTTGGCACGTCGGTTTTATTTGCATGGTACATACGGAAGAGGAAATGTTAAGGGGGTTGACAACTGTACATACTGTAGGTCGGTAGACGAGTTGGTTGCGGGTGGAGATACGCTTGTTGATCAGATGTACCTGAACAGGATTTCTATTTAGCTCAGAGCGACAGAACGAGAGCGTACAACGCCTTTTACCCCTCCCCATCAACGGATACTTTCACTTTTTTCCTCTCACTTTTTTTTAAAACTTCTCTTCACTGGCATCACGTTCACTACTGCTTCTAGGGCTAAATTCATTCATCATAAGATATTTAGCTTATTTACATAAAATGTCAACTCGTTGTTTCTACTGATTTTTCGATTGAGATTTCTTACAACCGATTTGTTGAGTGAAAATCAAAAGCACGAATACGTTCTAAACATGTGATTCGCTATCAAAGGTAAAATTGATATTTATAGGAATATCATGTGGGAGAAAAATTCACAGGAGATGCAAAATGTAAAACCACGATTATTTATGGTATCGAGTGACTTTATAGCGCAGTCACTGCGCCGTATTTTGTGTAGCGTGAGACGATAACGACGATCGCCGTTTTTTCACTTCCATCAGCGAAAAATGTTACATTGGCACGATATCGCGCGTTTATGGGACACATTTGGGTGCAACTTTTTAACGCCCACTGGAGTTGTTTTGAAAATTTATATCAACGATCTTGTGGGAAGATGCAATAAGGAAGATTTTCTCGTTTCAAACTGTCTGCTTGAATATTGTATTCTATCAAATGGGTAGAAATAGCCGGTACTGAAAGTGTATTGAAAGAAGCACATCATGGTCTAGGCCAGGCGGCCGAACATTGGTATAATTATGCTAAGTAGAAATGTCATCGGGTTTAAGTGAAGTCCCGACAGGGTACGCCCGACTGAGAAGTCGGGTCCTTATGAGGTGAACCTGATCGGGTCCCTACTGAAACGTCACGCAGCTACCCAATGAGGAAGTCATTGGGGAACCCTCATCACGCACAAAAAAAAATTAAAAAATACAAAGAAATGAAAAAGAAAGCCAAGTCAGCAATGTCGAATAAACGAAAATAATGTACAATCAGATTTCTATAAGAGAAATTGTTTCAAATCGAATGAGGATTTTAAAAAAATTCTTGATGAAATAAAAAATTAGTAGAAGGAGTACCAACGTCCTTGGCGTGGATCAGAAGATAGAGAATTAGATTGATAGTAGACAATGAGTTGAAAAACTCCGCGCCAAAAATGATGGTCCTCCTTCTACTAATTTTTTATTTCATCAAGAATTTTTTTAAAATCCTCATTCGATTTGAAACAAGTTCTCTTATAGAAATCTGATTGTGCATTATTTTCGTTTATTCGACATTGCTGACTTGGCTTTCATTTTCATTTCTTTGTATTTTTCAAAAATTTCTACTTCCCAGTAAGAACCAAACAACTTTTTCTTGGCGCAGTTTTTTTACAAAAACATTTGTTTTTGTTTTTTTAGGGAGATTTCATTATTTTTTTTTAATAAACAAGGAATCGTTTTTATATCCTGTAAATTTTTTTATTTTCAATTCAATTCGGCTCATTTATTTTTCAAACGATAAATCATCTTTCCAATTAACAATCGAAGTAAAACAAATAGTTCCATTCCACAGTCGTTATTTGCACCGACTTTTCATTATTTATTCAAGATTTTCCGACTGAATTTGCTTCTTCGAGAATTCATTTGTGCACGGAACTCGGTTGAAAAATATCTGTGGAATTCATCATTTGTGCACCATATTCAATTTGTAAATTCCCGGGCTTCCCTCCTTGGTGCGTGTGGTTGTATTGTACTGCTACCAACTCCGTAACAAAAAAATGATAGGAGTTGATGTGAAATGCGAGAATGTGCATATGAACCCGTTCCCAGGTAAGAATTACATAGGCTGACAATGAGAACAAGCCTGTATGAGCCCAGGGTTGGCGAGGCTCAGTTATTCAGGCCTGGGATAGGCTTGGTTTCATCGGTCACTTGAGCTTCAAATGAGGATGATTAAAGGGGCCATTGGCGAGGCTCAATCCAGGCCTAGTCCAGGCTTTCAGTATTCAGGCTGAGTACGTCAAGGCTTATTCAGGGCTCAGCAAGGCCTCGAAAATGAAAGTTACTTTCGATTAATTTCCTCAGTTTTTATATCAATACTCATTAGCTAATGGTGGTGAAAATATTATCATCATCTACAAACATAGCTATAATTTTCCGCCAAGTTATCTAAGCTACCCCACGACCAGGCCTAGAGCAGCCCTTTGTGCACGAGGCTACATAATTATTATTATCCTTATCTATAATTAATTAATCAATCGATTCTGAACTCATAAATCCATCGGACCTATCATTTATTCAAGTTCAAGAAGTTTAATTAGGATATCAACAAAATAACACTAACCCAAGTTGAATTTTTATACCCGAAAAAAATGTATCATCCTAAGAAGTCGCAGGTAGCCCAGTGGATAGCGCGCTTGTCTACGGATCAGAAGGACCCCGGATCGAACCCCAGCAGAGGAGCAAATTTTTAAATGTTTGACTTCATTGTATTTCAATTTCCAGGTGCGCGGTAATAATCCAGGACGAATAATTAACAGAAACTAATGATGATAATAATTTTTTTCCCATCCATTGTTAATTAACCGACAATCACAATCACCAACAACGCTTAGCAACAGTGATGTACGGTCCGACCGCACTCTCTTTCATAGGTTACTCTAAATTTATAAAAAGGGTTATGAAGCAATAAGAAATTGTTTATACAAATATCTATAAACAATACTCCAGTTTATTTAGCCGAAGCTCGATTGAGCCTTTAAAATGTAGTAATTCAAGGCTTGAATCAAGCCTTGGCACCGAGTCTCGTTCAAGCCTTGCGAACTAAGCCTGAAACGAGGTTATCATTTAAGGGCTGAAGGAGGATTGATCCAAGGCTGAGCCCCAGCCCTGATTGAGCATTTCCGAGCCTTGGTCCAGGGCTTGATGAGCCCTGTTTCTATCGTCAATTCTTACCTGGGAATTGCTATGCGCGTATTTTTTTAAATATTGCTTCGAACGAAAAAATAGTTACATCAATGAGAAGCTTGTGGCCAATTTATATAATGTAACAAAGAGTATTTTTCATGTAGCTCGTCACGTTTGTATTTTATTTAATGGATATGATTCGGAGGTAGTGGAGGGGGTAGTTGCTGTCAAAACTTTTCTTGGTCGATACGCTGCCGCGTATCTCGATAGAAAGACTTAGCGAATTCGTTAGACAATTCTATAGGATTTCTATTCAACTTTCTATTAGTTTTTGGCCGATTCTATTCAAATGTTCAATATCCAATAAAAAAAGTCAATAGAATTCGATTTTTTTATATAACTTATTCCCTGCAGATATTTTCTGTCGAATTTCCTCGGCTTAAATTTTCCAAGTTTTGTTCATTCTATTTGTCTCTTTTTTCATCAAAAAAATAAAACAAAAAAAATTAGAAAATTCGGGCTGAGGAAATTCTACAGAACATATATCGATAGAATAAGTTATATAGAAAAACCAAATTCTATTGACTTTTTCTATTGAATATGTTCTATTGAACATTTCAATAAAATCGGCCACAAACTAATAGAAAGTTGAATAAAAATCCAATAGAATTTTCTAACGAATTCGCTAGGTTTTTCTATAAGAGTTTTTCATCCGTGATGAAAACCCGATGAGGTTTTCAATGGTTAATTGAACAACGTCGATAATAATTAAACCAGAAAACTAAATAAACGAATACTAAAACCATGACGGAATATCAAAAGTGGCATAAAAAGTCGAATTAAGGATATCCAAATAGTTCAGGCAATCTTTTTGGGGAACTCTTGCTTCAGAGTTTATAGAATAGACCAAGACTATTTTTTAGGCACAATATCAATTTTAGTTTCCAAACATTTTTTCGAGAAAAGGATTTTTGAATAACTGAAATTCAATACATTGCATCCATAAGGGCTGTATACTCCTACACGGAGAGAAATTTGCGATTAAAATTAATATATGATGATGAAATTTTATTCTACGTTGGAGAAATTTTATCCTGACGCATAATAAATTTTACCCTTCCAGTCCAATAATTTTTATATAGATAACAACGAGAATTCTGGAACGGTTGGTAAATTTTACCTTACCGGTACAGTAATTTTTACTCTACCGGCACGGTAATTTTTATTTTTATCAGGATAAAATTTCTCTAATGTAGAATAAAATTTGATCATCATATATTAATTTTTACTAAATTTCGGGAAAGAAATGAGGAAACGATGACTCATGATACACTTTTATAGAACGGTAGGATAATTTTTATCAAAAATTTCTCTCTGTGTACCTTCAATACAATAGTTCATAGTCTTAAGGGGTAACGGAACCCGTCGCACGTAGATGTTAGATGTCCCCCCCCTATCGGTATTGCAGGTTCCCGTGGTTTTTTGGATTTTGTACGTGAAAAGTACAAAAGC